CATTTGTTATTAAGGAAACAAATTTGAGAGTTCGGTGTATTTATTTTCTTTTGAATTGTCGTGACCCTCCCAAAGTTTCCGATGCGGTCGGGGGAACAAGGGATGAGGTGCAGGGGCATTGCCTAAGGCGGGCCATCAGCTCTCGAACAGGCGCAAGCTCTCCCAAGTCATACCCCGCACGACGTTGGATTTCGTTTTAAATTTCAACTTAGCCTAAAGGATTTTAGGAGTCACCACTAATCTTTTTGGGGTCAGCTAGAAACCAAACGAGACACGAAAATTGTGTCTCGTTTTCTACGCAACCAAATGAGTCCGGGGACTTAATTATGCTAATCGTCTAATTAGCGCCATTTGGTATCTATAACTCGATGCAAAATGTTCATCTAAGTGATCAAGCAAGTTCTTACCAATTATGATCCTAAAGGTCTTAATGTCGCTAAGTGTTCATGCAAATGTTCTTTTGAGTTGGTTATGATCCTAAGGGTCATCTTAACCATTCTAGGAAGAAAAATAACAACCAATTTATTGAAAGTGCTAAAATGAACACCCAAGTATTGAAGAACTCAAAATAAAGTGTGGTAAAGAAAATCCAATACATGTGGAGCAAAGAATATTACATTGTCATGTTCTTAAGCCTCAGGACATGAACCCCGGTGAATTTGATCATCTGATACCAAGCCGGGCGAACAATGCCTTGTTATAAGCCTTGGGACATGAACCCCATAAGCTTGAGGTTAAAGACTATCCTAAAATTGAATTAGATTAGGATGAACCTAAATCTACTCATTCATTCTTATTAGGTGATAAAATTAATCTAGACTAAGCTAACCAATTATTAATAAAGGTGATGCTAAGTCTAATAGGATTATTATTTGCTAATTATTCTAGCTAAAGCCAAGGTTAGTTTGATTACTAACTCCTAAATTTATTAACTAGCTAGTCTAATTAATGCTAACTAAGGTTACACTAAACTAAACTAGATACAACCATTAATCACCACCATGGTCCACCATATGAACTCTTGGCCGCCGCTTCCAATCGCCAATCACGTCCAATTGCTCATACAACCATTCGAATCAAGCATTAATAGACTCACACAATTGACAAACAATCAAGAAATGAGGAATTGAGCTTGGAAATTGGATTTCAACCATGCAAGTGATAATTAATTATTGCTAAGTGATAATTAACATTCACTTTGCATTTCACTAGTGCTTAGTTAGTCCTAATCCCCAATCCTAAACTGCCCGTCGAATCATACATCGCTAATCGCAATTCAGCCTGACATACATCTAATCAGTCACACACGTGCTCAATTAAACATGCCTTAGGAATTAAGCGAACGATTAGTTGTCCAAAAGGATAATTCTCATTTTTTTTCCCTATTCTGCCCAAATATGTTTTAATCTATCCGACTAACCCAATGAAATTCAAGTTGAATGATTCTAGCGGCAAATGAAATCTTAATAAGTGTAGTTTAATGTTTTTTTTTTTGGTCGGTAGTGTAGTTTAATGTTCATTCATATCATTTTCTCGAATTTTGACCCCATTTATCCAATGTTACTGATTTAACCCGCTCACTCAGAATTCAACCCGATCCGGACCTGGATTTCGAAAAATGTGGGAAAAATAGTAAATGAAGTTCAAATGCAGCAAAATTTTATAGGGAGCATCCTCAGCACGTGTTCTTGAACTTTTATTTCATGACTTTTTGCAAAAGAGCCCTCCAAGAACTAGGAAAAATTATTTGAACAAACATTAAACTATACTTATTAAGATTTCTTTTGAATAAGTGAAAAATTGGTATGAAATTGAGTTGATTCGGCTTAATCATATTTGAACGAGGTTAATTGGCACTCTTTATGAAGGACCGGTCGGGGCCCTAAACTTACGCTTAAGTAATGGCCAACCCGTCTCAAGCCCGAACTCTTAAAATTGACTTGAAATTTCTATGTGTTATGACCCATGGATCAAATGTCAAATAAGGAATAAATTCTAAAAAATGAATAGAAAAGAGTGAAATTTAGAATTTTCCAATCGAAAGGTCGAAATTCTCAATTTGACCGAAAAGTCAACTCTTGATATTTTTTGTAAAAATTAAGAATTGAAAGTCTAACAAAGCTTGAAAAAGATTGAATTGATGATTTTTTTTATATTTCAAATTTTCAAAAAAGTGTTGATCAAGAGAGTTGACTTTATGAGTTGACCAAAAAATCAACCGAAAAGTCAACCTTAGATCATTGAGGAAAATGACTCCTAAGTTCAGATAGCATGCAATGAAACTTAAAAAACATTGAAAAACATTGACTGACTTTTTTTGGCCAAAAAAACGAGTTCTGTCGCGATCGTAAACCCTAATTTTGAGATTTTTACATTATATGATTTATTAGCTAAAAATTAAGTGTCAATATGAACATAAACTCATGCTTATTATTTCTAATTGTTAGTTAGTGGAATAGATTTGCAAGTGTGTGTACAGTGTTGGCTATTCCCGGCAAGGAACAAGGACCAAGAGACAAGGGAATGATATGGTTTTTATTGAGTGAAAAATGGTTACAAGGCTAGGCTGTGGGACTAATTCCTAGGCTGAAGGGTGTAGCTGTGTTTTAGTTGGTGTCCTCTGTTGGTTTCTTATTTGCTCTTACACGAGCACCATCTAGCCTATTTATAGGCAGCTAAAGCCGCCATACTCTTGTACAAGAGGTAAAGACACAGGCTACGTGTCTTTCTTTTTGACCTGTACACTCTTTTACTTTTATCCAAGATCTTTTTTCACAAAAACTCTAGACAACTCTACACACTTCAACTACCACCTGAAGATTAGATAATTTGTAAAATTCTTCTAGATTCTCTCGTAAATGGATCACTTCTTAACACTCCTTAATCCAAATCTCGAACTTGGCTTGTGGTGGTGCATTAGTAAAATATCCGCGAGTTGATACTTGGTTTTGCAATATTTAAGCTTGACCTCTTCACTACTTTGCACATCGCACGAAAAATGAAAGTTGATGTCGATATGTCTTGTTCTCCAGTAAGCTTGACCTCTCCACTACTTTTTCGAGATAGCTATCGCGAACTTTTTGTCGTGAATTTTTGGAATAGGGTCCGTTTATACTTCTCCAATTCCCCTAGTATTCTTCGAAGCCATAAACATTGTTGTTTCCTATACGTAAAGTTAAGAGTCATATTCGAAAGTTATTACTTTCTGATAAGTTGGAATTTCCTTTCCTTATCCAAACATAATAATCATGTTGAAAATTACTGGTCTCTATCAGACACAAACTTACATTTTCATTGTGAAAAATTATTCAAGTGAAACGGTTATGTAACATAATTACTTGATATTGATACTTACCCTTCATATGAAAAATTACCTACCATATTTAAAAATTAGTGATTAACAAAACGTTAACAATACTTTCACTCTTGAAAGGTTATTACTTATCCTACTCCGGAGGATAAGTTACATCTCTTTACTTTGGATGAAGTCCGAGTTTCTTTTCAAGTTGCTAATGACGTGGTGAAATTATAAGTTACCACTAGTTTAAAAATTAGTTTTTCTTTAACAATATTTGCTACAATCAGATATCTACGAATACTTTTATTTTGACTTGCTTTGTTCAAATGAAAAGTTACGTGTAGTCGTGAAAGATACTGGAAACAATTGTTGATACATCACAAGGCATTTTCCAAAGGAGTAAGCTCCTGTATAAGTTAGTAATTATGTGTCAAATGATATTTTCTGTTACGTTGAATTAACGACCATGGGTGAACAGTTAGTGACATCAAGCGTATATTTTCAATGTTCAAATCTGCGCACAACATTAAATTATTGTAATTAGTGATCGTCATTGAATTAGCCTTGTCCAACATAGAGTAACCTTGAGGCTAGCCCATGGGCTAACTTTGGGGACAGAGCTCTTCTTGATGGGTGTGGACGATCCAATTTTTTATGCATTCACAACATTGATCTAACCGACAATTCAGTTACCCCGCATTGCCTGCATACTGAATTGTTGTATTAACCATGTGGAATATGTTTCAGGAAGCCTTTCAAATTAATCAGTAGCTTTTCACTCTAGAAAAGTAAGTTTTTCCTATTCCTATTAATAACTAGTAATTTTACCAGGTTTAACTTTTCAAGGTTAAAGAAAAATTTAAATTTAGACGGCGAAAAGGAAGTTCCTTTAAATAAAATAGAAAAAGAGCTATTACTATGATATCGCACCAAGCTGACTACAGAAACCAGGCAGTCGAAGCTTCTACCAAAACCATATACAATTCTTTTACTTTGCTTAGTTCTTTTATCTTACACCCAGAAGCAAACCAAATGCTGCAGGGATTACCCAAAACTTTCAGTAAGGCATCAGCATCCGCGTATCCTTTGTGAAACGATTTTACAAGGCCACAGCCAGCATAATATATATCACAACACTTCCTTCTCAAGCTTCAACACCGCCATAAAGGCTTCTTGAGGTACATCGACCTTGCCAATCGCCTTCATTCTTTTTTTCCCTTCAGCCTAATAATAGAGAAGATAAAGCTTACTCGGATTAACAAATCTTCCATAACTATCATCAATTTTCATGTGCATGCAAAAACATATGCATGCTTCAACATAAAACAGATTGCCAGAACAAAATTGAAGATCTCGAGTTTCACCAAGTGCATTTGGGTTTGGACCCACAATTACTGAAGAGACTATGCGATGATGACATGCGACTTAAGATAGATAAAAGCGGAAAGACCAAATTTTTTTTGTCCTTCACATATATCGCATTACTATAAATTACTATCATCTTTTTATCTTAGTTAGAAGGCATATGTATTTGCTTTTGTATACAGAACCTGCATGGAAAGCTCCCTGATCAGTCGCATCACAGAATTTTAAATGAGTAAAAATTCAACTGTACAGTCAGGCAGACCTTTCAAATATTAGACCATCAAATCACATAAAAAAAACTTACAGAAAAGCCACAACACAGCACCGGATCACCATGTAGAAAATGGCTGGGATGCTTAAAAGACCAATTCGAACAATTTCTGACCTATGCAATTTGTAGCATATTTATCCATTGATACAAGAAGGCAGAGAAATAAACCATCTTACATCCTGTCCTCCCCCTTTAGCTTTTTTGAGACTTCATCATGACAAGTAGGGAAAATTCTATGTTGCCATATTAAAATTGTACTAGTATATGACTAATCCACTTGCATATATCAGAAAACAACAAAGGATGGATCTAATCCATCAAAGTTAAAAGCAATTCCTTGGATACCTTCACCTTTATTGGAAATGAGATGATTGTGTATGGGTGGTACGCACTCTTTTTAAATAACCTTTATATTCAAAAGCCGCCCAAAAAAATAAAAGGATTAGTATCTTAACGTCTCGTGCCCAACATTAAACAAGGTTCTGCTTGACTATCAACTCCTTTATATCTTTTCAAGCATATATACTCCAGTGAGATAACTACTGCTTTCGAAATTTCTTCGATCTCTGCCTCATCCTCATGTTTTCCTAATGGTCTGATGAATCTTAATGACTCATGCCCGAGGATAAACAAGGATTCCACCTGGATATCAACACACATATATCTGTCTAAGCATACATACTCAAGTGAGATAACCATTGCTTCCAGTTGTTTCTTTGATCTCTGCCTCATCCTCATTTGTCTAAAACGGCCGATAGTCTGCTGATGCAGTATTTCTTTATTAAGGAATAGATATTGATGATAAATCTTGTCAGATTTGTCTCATACCATATGTTTATAGTGTCTCTTTGCTTATATCATGTTCCAGGTCGAGCCAAATTATCAGATGACGATAGATCCATCAAGTTTGTTTGATAGACCAAGAATCATGCAGATCACAACGTGTCATTTCTATTCAGTTCATTGGAAATGATCCAAAGATTCCAAACAGTTAATACAGTAGAAATCCTCCGTCCTCCACAAACAGGACAACTAGTCCACTCTGACTTTCTTGAAACTGACCAAAAGGGGGAAAAACTTGAGTGAATACTTTCTTCATAGATGTTTAAGTGTAAAGAAATTAGACACACCTGTCCAAAATTATTTCAAATTAAACCACAGCCTAAGCTGAAAATTTCATTAGACAACTTACAAAATTTCAGGCAGGGAATAATGATCGAATGAACTTGATTATGACAGAAATTCAGGCTTTGCTTATTAGGGTTCTGCGGGAGGATTTCCAGAGGATTTAAATATCAGGAAGTCCGAAAATGATATTGATTATGATTTCTTCATAAGAGTGACAAAGAGCAATTACAAGTCTGAGACACAAGACTCATAACAAAGTCAACAAGGAAATAATGAGTGGATGGCCGCTTCTAAATGATAATAATAAGTACCTGTTTCTTCAGCAACTTCTTTTTCCTTGAGATGTCACCACCTAAATATAAGATGGACAAGAAAATCCATATAAATAAAACAAATCCGAAAGACAATAGATACTCACAGACACAAAAGCACGCGCGCGCGCACACAGAGGATGAAGAATCCAAATAAAAGGAGGGAAAGGCAAAAACTTGAGCGTGTGTGGCGAGGGATATGATCTTCCTTAAAGACCTATAGAAACTTGATTTTTCTACTTCACATAAGTAGCATACATCATAAATTTTCTCATTGTGATAAGCTTGGGAAAAAGCTGCAAAGCCTAACCAAAATAGTAGTCTCATCTCACCATAGCATTTGGCTAAAACATCCTTCCGGATTGCTGATAAGGATTCACTAGCAATCACTTTTGAGCCTATGCATGCCTGTGACAAAAATACATACTGTCATTTTTGTTTTGTCAAAGCAATAATTTAGCAAAAGTGCATGACAGTTACTTCCTATCCATCAGGAAAAAATGGAGAAAATGCTAACATTAATTAGTATTTAGGATTTTCCTTTCTTCTTAGGTTAAGTCCTTAATTGGTCCCTTAAGTTATGCCTTTCTTTTAATTTCATCCTGCAACTTTCTTTTTGTGCTATTTAATTTCAGGAATTAATTCCCGTTAGTAAAACTGTAGATTGCTGATATGGCATTGAAAATGTGCCAATTTGGAGAATGTCGCGCTAATGTGGCGACAACTAAGTGACTCATCGCCAGCAAGACAAAAAGAGAGATAATAATATAAAAGATAAAAGAAATGTAAAATCTGAAACCAGAGAGAGAGAGAGAGAGAGAGTCAAGGAGGGGGGCTCTACTTTTGCCAGCCACCACAGAGGGTGATGACCCTTCAGCTACCAACAAGGGTAGGCACACTCGCCAGTGGCTGTCAACAACTGTAAAAGGCAACTTGGGTCTGTATTCCTCGTTGTTGCAATGACTTACTTCTGTACACTAATCACAGGGAGCTCTCTCTCTCTCTCTCTCTCTCTCTCTTCCTTTTCTTTTTAATTTACTTAGTTAAACCTATAATATAAAAGATAAAAGAAATGTAAAATCTGAAACCAGAGAGAGAGAGAGAGAGAGAGAGAGAGAGAGAGAGTCAAGGAGGGGGGCTCTACTTTTGCCAGCCACCACAGAGGGCGATGACCCTTCAGCTACCAACAAGGGTAGGCACACTCGCCAGTGGCTGTCAACAACTGTAAAAGGCAACTTGGGTCTGTATTCCTCGTCGTTGCAATGACTTACTTCTGTACACTAATCACAGGGAGCTCTCTCTCTCTCTCTCTCTCTCTCTCTCTTCCTTTTCTTTTTAATTTACTTAGTTAAACCTATACTTTTCTTATCTGTATCTGAAAATTAGTTTTTAATCACTTCATATAATAGATTTCCTTTTTTATGTGAAATTATTTGATCCAAGTAAGCATGCCCTGTCAGCCATTTTGCCACATCAGCAATGCCATGTCCTCATATTAACAGTGTTAATAGTAGTAAGACTCAATTGCACAAGCAAATAAGTTAATAGATGACTCAATTGCACAATTAAAGTTAGAAAAATTGAGAAAATGGCACAAGTAAACAACCAAATCTGGACTATGCTCTTCAAAACATTATCTGTGGTCACCAGTAGACAAAAAAACATATATGCAGGAAGCCCAAGTATGGATGTAGAAACATATACCACGGGCATATGACTCCGAACTGTATGGATAAGTTCATGTTTCAACTATTAAGGTTGAACAAATTTTCATGAGCATAAGTGGAAACCATGAGACAGGCATGTTCATCACAATTCTTATCATGCCCTTTAGTCATTGTAATTAAACGTGCCATTGTGGTAGAGGCTTATTTCTTTTTTTTGGAGGAGTTTCAATTCAATTAGTTTGACAGAAATTAGGGACAAAACAATGCTTGATTTAGATTACTATATTTTAGAACAACTAATTATTTGCGGTAGTGCTGCCAGCAAATACACATCCATGTCTTACTTGGATGGGGACTTTGAACATTTGTCTTGGTATAAGCTCCTTTAATTTTTGTGTCAGAGCTCTTCCAATAGCATATGCCTGAAGGGAAAGCTTCCATTAATTGAATGGCATCAATTCTATAATTGTGTAATGCACAAATAGAGAATACATCCTTACCAAAAAAAAATTGAGAATACAAATTGACAATAATTCACAAAGTTTGCTGTAAGACTACATCTGAGAAGGAAGAGAGTAGAAACAAGTGGAGAACAGTTAAAAACTTGTTCATTTTAACGTACTATGTACCAACTCCTCTTTTGTGATGTCAAATACTGCAGATTTGCCTCGCATGCACCTCGGATTGATATTTTGGCTTTACGCATTTCTCAGCAAATTTACTGTGTTATGAGATGGGTATATCATAATATTCTCATGCACAAAGTTCTTTCCTACTCTCTGTATTTTTCTAAGTTAAATCATTACCATATCAGAAGAAATGAAGTAAGATCAGTGTTTTCATCAAAGGAAAGTTCAGCCTCAATTAACAAAAAATTTGAAGGAACTTACACCCAAATCATTCACTAAAACAGATTCAATTTTAGCAAAGAACAAAGAAGAAATTAAGAAAACATATGGACATACTTGACTGTAGCATATGGTACTAACACACTTATATTTCTTGTACCAACAGATAACCCTTGTGATTAGATCAATCATATGATTAATGTGCTTAGTGCTGTCACAATAGGTCGAGTATACTTGTAATTTTCTAATAGGTGCATGGACTCTTTTACACCATTGTGCTCTGTTGCCATATGCTCCATAATACCCATAAGCCTAGGGATCAAACACTCTCACTATATCACCAGAACTGAAGATAACACAAATTACCTTATCTTTGTGAACAATAGTTGCTAGTGGTTCCACTTGATCACCATTGATCCTGATGTCGAGCTTTATCAAATCACTCTCTTTGTACCTGCCAGTCAAATTCCAAGCGCACACAATTATGAGAAACAACAAGAAGTACATGAACCATGAAATGGACTACTAATGCTCTCATATCAGTTGTCATCCCATGAACTGAATAAAGTATGAACATAATAACAGAATGGATCACTCAAGACTGAGATTTTGGAAATGGAAGCAGAGTGGATACACAAATCTCAAAGTATTAGATTACATAGATTTAAAACTTATTGTCTAACTTGTACGTCTAGGCCTTGACTTTTGAGGTTATTTTTAACAAAAGAAAAGATGGGATCAAGAATAAATCTACTTGAGGAAAATTATACTTGGTTTGAGTATAAGACCACAGAAGTTCGAATATATTTGCCACACCAGATGATGGCCTTTAGAAGCTGATTAAACTGAATATGCAGGTTAAAAATGGTAAGAAGAGGCCTAAAAGACTGGAAAAAACAATTAAAGATATCGATATATGTAGACTAAACTGTATCATTGGTACTCAACAAAGCATAATGGCGCAAGAGGATACATTTAACGCAGCCTATGTAGACTTCACACGGCATAAACACTAGGTTTTTCTTTGTTGTAAATGATCATTGAGTAACCTAATTAGTTTTTGAAAGTAATAGTACCTCCTAACACACCAAACAAGTTATGTTGAGCTCAATGTATAACCTCCTGCACCCGCAGCAAACCGCCCTTGTTTGTTAAAATGTTAAATGCTTACACTAAAAAATTGGCAACGGAAAAGATTCCACAGGACAACGGACAAATTGCAGACTTGTGATATTTTGCCCAACACATTATGTTAAGCCTTAGAATTCAATAGCAAGATGGGACACAAATGGTTAACTTTCATCCTGCCTTTGCTTTAACTCTTGCACCAATCGGCTGTAAGACCAGTCATTTATACTTTCTTTAGATTGAAGGCAGCAAAAGTAGCCCTTTATTTTGCAAACACTAGCGTTGGGTCATTTCAGTGTACTTAACAAGTCATTTAGTGTGGATGAAAAGGAAAAACAACAAAAGTGAGCTTATTCTTTCTTATAGAGATTTTTTTATTTTTCCAACTGCCATGAAAGCAGCAAGAAAAATGAAGGAAAGAGAGTAGCTATCCTGTTACAATTTTCAAGAATCCTATTCTCTTTTGCCAGCTCATGAACAATTCGAGCTTTTTTGAACCACTAGAGACGGCATTAACTTAGCAGTCTTGAAACCAGCCCTTATTCATGTCAATAATCACTGCTCTTGACAAAAATTGTGACTAATCTAAAATTACCATTTCTGTTAAAGTATCCCACATCGCTTAAGCTTATCTTCTGTGGAGTTTCAATGGGCCTTATATTTATATAGTCTCTTCCACCTATCAGCTTAAGCTTTTGGGATAGACATTCTAACAAGTATCAGAGCCAGATTCCATCCAATTATATTTTGCGCTTGTGGCCCTGCGTTCATCAATTCCATGAGTCATTCCTAATATGGCTTGCACATGAGAGGATGTGTTAAAGTATCCCATATTGCTTGTCTATGGAATTTCAATGGGCCTTTTATTTACGTATTCTTGCTCCACCTATCAATTTAAGCTTTTGGTTTGGACTTTCTAACAATTTTCTACTAAAGTTAGACATAATGACTGTCCAGTGAATCAGCAAAGCAACACCATAAACTTACCCAAGAAAAGTGTACTCCATGCTAGCATAACCTTTGCTTCTGGACTTTAACTGATCGAAAAAGTCACCTACCATCTGTCATATTAAAGAAACTGACTAACAAAACAGAAACAATGTGGAGCAATTGGAGCAATATGTAATCTACATGTAATAATCTACGAAAGTAGATTAGAACCAAAGGTACCTCTGCTAAAGGTAATTCATAGGTGAGGGATGCTCTATTCTCCGTAATAAATTTCATTTCTTTAAACTCCCCTCTTCTGTCTTGAGAAAGCTCCATAAGTGGACCAATATAATCTTTTGGTGTGAGCATCTCTATCTGCAATAATTATTAAAAGATGAAATATAACCAGTAGTGACTCTTCGCTTTACTCACTCAAAACACAAAGTTAACTGGAGCAACAAAAACTAAAAGAGTATAGAAAAGTAAAAGAAAATAGAACAAAAATTGAAAACTAACCTTAACAACTGGCTCCTCAATTGAGCTCCTTTGTCCAGGTTCGGGGAGTAGAGATGGATTTGAGCATTCAATCTTATATTCACCAAAAATGCATTCATGATGGTAGTCATATATCTCAACTAAGACAAATTCATAAAACCACTGGATATCAAATCATACATTTGCTGCAGCTGATATACGGCTTAATCCATACAAAAACAAAATAAGTACAAAAGCCCAAGAATTCAGATTGGGCATCATCCAAGAAAAGAATTTGAACCACAATTTACAGCTACACCTACATTTTATGAAAGATTGGCTAACTGACTGGAGCTAAAGTATTGAAGGTGCTAGGAGCGAATTTCCAACTAATTTATTAAAAACTGATCCCCACTGAGAGTTTTGGGCGCTTGGGGACAACGATGTTTTCATATTAAAAATCAGAGCTTTGAGCCTAGTCAAGGCCAAACAATTCCTCCTAAATAAATACAGCCAAGCTACATAAGTCAACTTTAGGTCCTTCATCCATGAAGGCATTGACACCTCTCCTTCAAGAACAGTGCATATTTTGGGAAAAGTTTTGATCGTTTCCAACCTTGGTCATTTTACTCGAAATCAAATGTTTCTGAAACATTCCATGTGATCATCGAGTTTCTTCCATATGAATGATATTCAGGACATATTCCTTGATAATCCACTAAATGATCAACTATTCATCGGAGTCCATTATCATGCCTTCATCAAAAGCACAAACTTCAGCCTGAAGTTTCGTGAAATGATTTGGGGCATTTGTAGCTTTTTCTTACTAAGAACTTGCTGTTATAAACTTCCTCCAGCTTAGAAATAAAGAAGGAAAGGCTGACTTTAAGATTAACCAATTAGGAAAGTCAAAGAAGAAAACTCAGCTCTTATCAAACTTGCATATTATAAGAAATGCTTTGGCATTACCATGCTCATGGCAAAGTCTACAAGAAAAGTTTTTCAATATAACAAATTCTCACAATTGCAATTCCTCTTTGCTAATATTCTGGAATACACACGTCCTCTTACACAACACAAAAAGGAAAAATAATAGTAGAAGTAGTAATGATAACAACAACAACAACAACAATATAAATAATTATAATAATTATAAACTCGTGCAAAGCAAAAAAATAAATAGTTGAGTAGAGAATAGCTTGGGATTAAAGACTTACAATATCACCATTTACACAGTTCACCCTATAAACGACACTAGGAGCAGTTGTAATTAGGCTCAGGTTGTACTCCCTCTCAAGTCTTTCCTGTATGATAAAAAAATTTAACCGAAATCAACATCCTGGATTCTGTTTGCAGAGTTTCTTTTTTACAATTCTGTTGACAAAATTCGACTTAAAAAGAAAACAAGAAAGACCAGTTTCAATGAGCATAAACCTGGACAATTTCCATATGGAGGAGACCCAGGAAACCACATCTAAAGCCAAAGCCCATGGCACTTGATGTCTCAGGCTCAAACTAAGCAAAAGAAGTTTAAATGTGAGAATAGTCATATACCAAGTGGTTAGAAAGAGCAGGTACTACGTCCATACCAGATTATGTAAAACAGTTCCACAGCAAAGAAACAATTACTGGAGTACTAGTATCTCTTTCTTTATTTGCAAAGAATAATTACAGGTCTAATAGACTAAATTAAATTCTCCAACCATTGATTCAATTTTTCCACCAAAATTCTAAATGAGTTGATCAAATAGATACGTCCTCCCAGCAAAATTCAATCGATATGCCCAGCTCACCAAACTAATTAATTCATAGTCTCTTGTATTGCAGGAAGTAGTCCACCCTGTCTTTTTTGGATGCATGACATTTTTAGCTATGAAAATAAATACATATTTATTGGCGAACACCTGCATTTTCTAGAAGCTTCCTTTTGGGAAAAAATGGATTCAACTTATCCATAATCCTGGAATGATCAAAAAGTATACACTTGATGAAGCAACCAAACCACAATGGAAAGTCAAACTCGAAATATATATAAAATAGCATTAGATTTACTACACAACCAGTTTGGTCTTGAGAGACTAAATTGATTTGGTTTGCCACACCTGGTTCCTTTTCCGAATTGAATCATGTTCACCCTTAATTTCAAAAGCTCAAATCCTGGATTTTTTTTTTTTTTGATAATCAAACTCAAATCCTCGATTTGCGTCTTCATATTTGTATCTAGTCATCAAGTCATGGTTCTGCGATCCTCTACCGCTCTCCTATTATTTCAGCTTGACTCCTGCCCTGACTGCTCCTCTATTCTTTTTTTTTTTCTCTCAATACATCCACCGTTGCTGAATTCACATTTTGAGATACAGAGGTATAATATCTCCAACTTTTCAGTGGAGGTAATATCCATATGCCATTTCTGCACATGAAGAAATATCCTCATTCTATATTTTAGACCCACTATTTTACAGATTTAGTTTTGGTGATACTTCTACCTAACAGTTAAAAACAGATGATATTCAGATAGAAATCTAACTCAAGTCCACATCACTCAGAACTATGAAAATGGGCCAGATTCATTGAACACAATCACAGGCCCTCTTGCAGACAACCTGAGAAGCAACAGTAAAGCTACTAGCCTTTAACAGTGGCATTCGATACGAATTTGTAATTGAATATACCATTGAAAGAAATTGATAAATATGCATGTAGACATTGCCAACCAGAAGCCTTCGAAAAAGCTATGATTGCATAAGGCCCGTGACAGCCCTATATCACCAACACTAAGTAATAGAAAGCCACCACATTCTCAAGCCAAAAAAAAGAAAATTTAAGTATGATTTTTATCATTCAAGTAACACACCTTCAATGCAGCATCATTAAGTTGCAGTTTCTCCAAGGCATCACGTAACTCAGGAAACCTTAGAAAATATTGAGGAAAAACTGGAAACCATAAATAATTTCAGGTAGAATGATCTTTTCATATTCAAAATGTAAACAATAGTCAAGGTCAATACTGGTCAGCTTCGACAGGAAACAAGCCACAAAACACCATTGGCGTAGCTTCCTCGTATCCAGGCAATGAGTCCTGTGCCCTTCTGCCATAGTGAGTTATAGTGTCACCTACCCTGGCATCTGCTACAGACCTTATAGAAGCTGAGAGGTACCCAACCTGGAAAGATAGTAAATTACTAAACAGAAAAATAAAATCTTTGTAGTAGAGACCAAGACAAGTGTAAAACTTAATATGCTTTATTTTGACATCAACATCAGTTATGACTGTCATCTCTACAATTTATGTGGCATCCCTGATTCTGGTGATGGATTAGTTCAGTATGTCTATCAAATCTTTGAAATGATTCAATCTCGTCTTACTTCTCAGATTATGATTTCTGAACTAAATGCCATAAGCAAAAAGTCAGAACTTCGGACATCTCATCTAGGTACTACTTCTAGCTCTTATAGACAAAAGCAGAAGGCATAGTGGCAATTCAAGAGCCAAAAGTTGAGAGTAAGCAAAGAAGAAGAATACCATGTTTTTTAATATGTAATGATCAAGAAGAAGAAGACTCAAGTGGAAATACATAATCTTGCTCCATTACCTCCCCAGCAAATAGCTCTTCAACTTGTAATTGATTTGGAGATAAAACCCCAACTTCATCAGCAAAATAATCCTATAAAGTTAACATTGGAAGTAAACAATTGACATATATTCATTACAAACATCCCTAGGACCTTTAAGAAATCTTAATCAAATCATAAATTGCATTTTAACAAGCAATAAAGACATCAAGTGATGCAGGAGCACCATTCTACTCTTAGTATTTTATGTGTTTTCTTCTTTATTTAATCTTCCACTATGTTAATAGGCTAATAAGGTCATGTGTTAGTCAGGTGGCTATTTATGAGTTCCAATGGTTGAGATTCGAAGTTGTTTATGTTAGATCAAGGGTTGAGACTGACTTATGGCGAGTAATCCTAGTTTAAATGGATCTTTGAATCTTTTGTCACTAGCTTCTCCTCATTCAATAAATAATATTGATATTTATAACCCTAGAATATCATTTCTCTGTCAGCTTTAATTCATCCCAATTCTAGCCCTCATCATTGTTCTTTTGCTGTCTTTTACTTCTCCAATTATGTCGTTAAGCTTCGCACTGGGAAATAGCTGAATCTTCACATACAAGCACAGATGTATGCCATCGGGTGAAGTTGGAGATCGATAAGAAAACAATGACATAAGCACTTTACCTTCTCACTTGCCATAAAATAAATTCTGTCACCTTTCCTAAGGGTCCCATCAATGACTCGAAAATAAACAATAACACCTCGATATGGATCATAGTAGCTGCAGAAGAAAGATGAAAATAGATGTATAATCAATTATAGCTTGATAAGTCATGTACGTGCTGCAGTGGGGAAAAAAAGCACTTTGATCCAGCAGTAGCTGCAACAATTAGCTGCAGCATATGTTTGTAAACGCATAAAAATCTCACAAGCAAGAAATATTGTCAATGAATGTGTTCCTAGAATTTATTGCTCCTCAAAACCTTTTCACCATTTGAGCAACAACTATGGCTAAAGCACATGTCAGTGGCCAAGTACAACCACAGATTAAATGAATTGACAATCCCAAGATCAGTTGCTGAAGATGATTAAAAACTTCTCTACTTAAAGCTGGTCTGAGGGCTTCTATTCACAATGAATTGCTTAGATAGCCCATCAGAGTATAGAGGCATAAAATTAGTCGGCAGCTCATGTGGAGAAATACATATACCACCCTCACTTCAGAAAGCATGCTGTCAAGCAGTGAAGACTGCCTGAGGAACATCGAAAAACTTTGCTAATAGGTGAGGGCATAAGCATGTTTGCATATACTTGAGCATAAACAATTTCCTATGCGCGTTTATGTGGGTGTGGGTGCAATGCTAGTGCATCCATGCATGCGCACACGTATGAGAGAGAGAGAGATTCCAAAAAAAAATCGATTTGAATAGGTTTGACTTAAAAAGACGTAACTATACCTAATAAACGAGAAAGAAATCTGTTGAGAACTTCAAAAAGAAAAGGATATATGGATGATTATTCATGAACCGCCTTAAATGCACATGAACAGATCAACATAAGCTTTTCAACAAGTGTTTCATTTCTCCCTGTTTGCTTCAAATTTCATAAGCATTTTCTTCCTAGCAATCTTAGATGCCTCCAATAAAAAGTTAACTAGACGCATTTCAGGCAGTTACTGAAACATTACAAGCAAAAGAAGCTTGGAAAGTATAAACAGAAATCCATTAAGTAAGAAAAAATCATTTCAAGGACATGGAAAGTCTAGAGATGATGGCATTCAGAGATCCTTTTCAGTAGCACGACAAGGGGAAAAAGATCAGTATTCCGAACACTACTGAGCCTTATACCACTAAATGGAATCAGCTATATGAATCCATAACTCCATTGTGCTCAAAGTAAGTTCTGCATAAGATCGAAGTGCTCCAAATCTTTCTGCATCATTTTGACACATCTTTCCAGATCTTCCTCACCCTTATTAGCCTGCATCTCCAACCTACAACTATATCTTCTCACCAAAGTATTAAAAGATTGTCACTGCATGTATTAAAACCACTTTAAACACCCTTTCCAATCTTATCCTCAATTGAGTTCTCACCTACTCTTCCACATAGGTTCAATTCAAGCACATCCAAAGGAAATTCTCATCTCATTTTCTGCAAGCATCAATAATTGACCAACCATCATTTCAAGCCATATAGCATCACGGACCTTATTATCGTCTTGTATAGCATTGATCCTTAACCATTAGTAACACTCAATGGTTGCACAAACACCAAATGCATTTGGCCACTTCAACCATCATGTTGATACAGGTAAGGTCTCCATCAACTTTTCCATCCTTTTGCTAAATGGATCCAAGAGAACATAGCAACTCTCTAGGACATTCTAGACTCTAAATCATAACATTTGAACTTCCATGATGACTAAATTAACACTCAAAATCACCTCCAAAGTCAATCTTCCTGCTATAAACAAAAATCAGTTTCTCCACTTTGTGCTGAATTACTCTTCCATATGATTATATGCCTTGTCCGCTTAGTCCTTCTACAGCGGATAAAATATGGATATAACTTTTACTCTTGTAACAAGGTACTGTTGAACTACCATTTGCTCCACAAGTTTAAATTGTTCTGAGATAGACCCACAACATATATTAGCCTATTTCTTGACAGCCCCCCACCCCCAACCCCGGGCGATCCCGAGCATGTAAGCCAAAACTTACACACGAAACACAAAATGTAGATGTAACCAATGGATTAAATAACCAAAGACTCAACACAACAAAAGGAAAACCTACAAAACAGTGGCAGGAGGGAGCATCAAAATTCAAATTCTTTAATTGTGCTAAAATACCAAGCAAATAACCGTTTTTCCTTAAAATTGTTTAGAAACAAGCCAATCCCTAGGTGCCAAAGTATTTTTCTTCCACTACTCAGGCATCTTCTTTGTTCTCGATTAAAAAAGTTTGTGGAACAGAAATAATAAACAATGGAATGACAGGTATTAGAACTATGACGGCACTCGACAAGATTGACCGCTCATATAAAATATGGAAGTAGTTTTACAAAAACTTTTAGAATGGGACAACAATAGATTAGCAATAACAACACAAAATTATGAAGGAATGCTTAGATGATGATAAGAGTATGATCGTCAAAATTAGCAAGCTGATACTTTTCGAGTGAAGCGAACATTAACCTGTCAAATATTAAAGCCCTTAAAGGCCTTTCAATAGTGTCGCTAGGTGGTGGAATCCTTTGAACAATAGAGTCGAGGATATCCCGTATGCCAATCCCTTCCTACAGAACAAAAGCAACTTGAAAGTAAAGTGTCACTCCTTAATGAACAGAAGATTTTAGGACCTTGTGAATGAGATTAAAAAATGTGCCAAATGTTCTTGTAGTGCAAGCATGTGTGGGACTGACCTTTGCAGAGCACAGGATTGCATTGCTGCAATCTAAGCCGACCACCTGAAAGAAACACACACTTTTCACTAGGGCTTCTGTTTCTTCATTTGTGATGCTCATACAGAGGACAGGCACTGAGAAGATCCAACAACAAACAGGAAACACCAGTACTACTTAATGAATACATGTATCATCCAACTAAACGAGATTACAACCTTAACTTCTTAAAAACAAAGAAAGCAACAGCCGAACTAGGTAAGGATCACTGACATTTCATTGTGTTGGTGAATGATGAACTTGAGAGGCTACACCTTTTAACATAACAAAAGCATTCACCGAAGAAAACTCTTCAGAGTTCATTTGTCGCAAGGATTTAGATATAAAGAGAGCTTATCTTTGTAGTTAAGAAAAACTGCTGCATGACAAAAGCAGGCAGAGGTTAATTTATTGTGCCCCAAAATGCATGATGTCTTATCTCTCTTGAGAATGCTCAAGATATGTGCTTTTAGTCTTCCATTTTAACAAAAGGAACAGCTCATAAGCAGAATGGCAAACTAAGGTAGTTGAAACTGGTCATGGTTGAACAATCAAAAATCCCATTACAGGTATTTCACAAAGGTACTACCACTTTCTCTTACTCGATTTCCTTCTTCAGCTATTAGGACAACGGAAGTCCAACAACAAGACAACAATTGGGATATCACAGATCAGTCACATCCACAACTTTCATTTTGAAAACCATCAGTGACAGTCATAAATTACCATCTACTTAGGAAAAGTCCTATTTGCGAATCATGGAATGGAGCAGGTAGTTATAAACATAGAAACCTTCTTGTAGCCAAAAGGATGAGATTTGCCATTGATAAAGACAACTTAGGGAAATAATTCTAACATCAGAATGACAAAACTGACTTGGTATCATGCTCTCCACTTTACGATTCTGAGGAAGCCCTCCAGTAAGGGCAGACAAAAGTAATAACGGCCAAATTGTGAAATTCTGGACTGATTTTCACTTGTGCGCATAAAACTTATTCCAGGACTTCCCAAAATTGTTTGTTATAACTAAAACAATAAAGAAGCTGGCCTCCTCACAATGGGAGAATTATCCGCAGCAGGGTCCTAACTTCATACAAGCTGCCAATGATGAAGAGGTGGACACAATGTTATTCTCTTTGAAGATTACACCTCAACTAATTGACATGTCAACATAGCGCATGGTGAACAAGAACATAACACAGGATTGTGAGTTTATGCCTTGTCATTCAATAAGGTTCTCCTAATTTAAAGAAAAAAGAAACCCTTTGCTGATTCAGCATCATCAGTTTATTGCAGAGAGATTTGGTTTGAGATAGCAACATCAGTTTATTGGAAAGGGATTTGGAAGGTTAAAGCTCCTAAACATAACAGCATTTTCATTTGAACAGAAACATTGGTGGAAACACAAGCAAGTAGCATTTGTAATTATGCATCATCAGTATTGTCAAGCAATGCTACCAATTTAAAATGATTGAAAACTCCATGGATCACCTTTATAATCCATGATTGGGCATTATACATCTCATCTCATAAGTCATTGAGAGTGAAATTTCAAGATTATGTCAGACTAATGCTAGAAAACTACAAAATTATGTTTGTGATCATATCCTTATGTGTCACGCCCAAATTTGCTAGGAAAGAACTGGATAGAAGTTTGACGGCCAAGAGATAAGAGTATGCACCCCACTGTCTATTATTGGATGGTTCTGCCAAAAGTGTTGCCCAATTAGGAATGATTTATACGTCCATTTTGCTTCCATCATATCCTCGCATGCATGTGACCCTAATTGCTTCATTATAGATGATGGATTCTCTATTCAGCAAAATAAAGATCTATAATTTCTAACTACCATCTAAATTGTGTTTTTTCACTTTTTTTCATTAATTTATTTCATTTCACAAATGAACCTAAATAATACGGAATTTGCCTCAAGAACAGTGCCGCCCAGTAAAACAACAAGGAACTGTAAATGCCACAGCGCAATGCAAACAACTATTTAGAAACTACCTCCTCAATCTCCTTGACAACGTGATCAGGTTCTGCTCCTGGAAGGTCTATTTTATTTAACACCTGTAGAAACAAAAAAAACTTTCTAAGCCAATGTTATCGGAAAGAAGGAAATCTGGTCTCAAAACCTTACTCTATTCCTTACCACATAAAACAGAAGCAGAATTTATGTGCACACTTGTATACTTATTTATGTACTCTTAAATAGTCCTACTTACTTCTCGGTAATGTGTGGAACTAAGTAGGGTAAGAAGATTTATGTAGGTAACATCTCTTAGTGAGGAAAAGCTTTGTTCTGGGAGGTTTTATGTTGAAAAAAAGGGGAGCCCAGATTAGGATCACTCACTAGAAGTTGGCAACCAAGAGAAAATTAGATATACAGAGATTATATCCAAGAAAAAGTTGATATTGCCTCACTTGAGGATTACATGATCAAAGGTGTCCAAGGTAGTATTGATTAGTAAAAGAGCAACCTCAAGATGCTCCAATCAAATTAGAGACAAAACAATTTCAATTTGAACCCTTTAACCGAATTGAACCCAAATTCTCAGTCCAACCTAGAGCAATTGGATCTTATAGAAGATTTCACACAGCATAGTCGCAATAATTAAAAAAGACCCCTATTACCGGCTCCACTTAGTAGGATAAGGCTTAGGGTCAATTTGATAACTGAAGAATAAAACTGAAACTTTAGGTACTGAAATTTTAAGTGTTAGTAATATTAGATGCTGGAAATTGAAAAAGAAAACTGGTAATACCTGAAAATTGTATACTGAAGATTAATGTCTTATAAGAATGGAACCAAGGATGTATTTGGTGTATATTAGCAATATAATTGGTAAAATTTCAAATGGTATTGATTCTCCATCAATAAGTTAACCCTACCCTTCCATAGAATATCAAGTGCACCATTTACTGAATCCAATCTTTTAAGTCAAACTAATTACACTTACCGAACAAGCTTAATAATACAACTTGTCAGTATCCTTACTACAATGCCCAGGAATCATGAATAAAACAAAGAAGTTAAATACATAAAAATATCCAGAAAAGGGAAAAAAGATGCTCAGGTGTAACTGCAGTCCTTGATTATAAAAAAAAACTACTTACAGGAATAATTTCCAGGTTGTTTTCCAAGGCCAGATATACATTGGCCAAAGTTTGTGCTTCGACACCCTACAAATATGACATGCATGATTCAACAAATCAGTACCGATATTTCAGTTATAATGAAGAAGGCTGCTAGTATCCTTTCTCAAACAAACCCAAAATGGTTCCAAGAAACTAGTTATGAGAAAAGACCTGTGAAATGGAGAATAAGCCACCTTGATTTTTTATGGCGAACAAGTGCCTTATTCACTTTCTTTTCTTCGTTCATTATGATAGTCAATTCGGTTAACCAAGAGTAAGTAGAAAGTTGATAATAGGTAGTAGTCAATTTTCTAATTGGTGTGACATCTTTCAAAACAAGCTAGATGAATAATCTTTTATTAGGTCATGTCAAAAAGATAAAGTGGTAAATTTCATGAGCAGACATCACTGGAACCTATGGATCCAGAGTGCCTAACTTCATTGTATTTTCTCCACTATCCACAAATGAAAAACCAGTGTCAAACGAGGCCCAGCGGAAAAAAAAACGTGAAGAAATGAACAGGCCACGTGAATACCACTTTGCAATGTCGCATTAGAAAGGGAAACCATAAAAAATCAGAGGGTGAGTTCCGTGAACAAAAAATTCCTAGCAAAGCAACGACTTGAATATTGCTACGCCTTCATCTATTCGCTCAAGCTTTAAAGTCGTCCAACTAAAGTCTACGATGGTATAAGCAAGACATCCTATGTTCAAATCTCTCTGGATCCCTTATTTTGCTTCCCAGTTATTAATTCCAACTTGTAAATATCAACACCACACTTTTATCGAATAACTTATACTTTTAGAACAATTGGCAATGGTTGCACAAAATTCTTCATATACTAACAATTTTGACCTCATGCAACTAGCAGCACAAGCTCTCTAAATACTGCTCGCAACTCTTTGCCTTCCACATTCCAAATGTTGCTAATCAATTCCATCTTGAACAATTTTTAGTGAAGACGGAAGGAAGGGGGAAGGACATGACTGTAGAAAAGAGGAATAACTCTACATGAACAAGTTCTCTAGCAGGCTGAACATGTCTCTCTAAAAACAACAGTCAACCCTTGCTCAGACAATAATTTCCCAAGCAGGGGATTTATTCTAGAAGAGTGGGTGCTTTCATCTGAGTAAGCTACACCTTTTTCCTTCCAATAAGTTGGACATCTAAAGAGGAAGAGTACGCTACAATGGGACAAATAGCCAAGAGCTTCTTCTATGCAGAATCAGTATGACAATAATTATCTGCTTATGCTGACCAGATATGAAGAAAATGGCAATCTGGATAAGTTTGATGAGCACTTATTGAGAGTAACACCAGCAAACTCCTTAACGGTTGAAACCCAAAAGTTTTGCTGAAGGTGCTAATAGTTTTGGCATGTCAAACTTTGATGTTCTTCAAAGAGATTTGACTTACAACATGAAAAGAGCCTACAACCAGCGGATGTTATTAATTAAGCTAATTGGAGGAAATCTGGAGAGTCGACACTTTCTAATGAACAAATGTGTCACATATTATGGCAAACTATTGAGCAACTTCCTCCTCTGGGTCCTACTCCAAGGAGCACGAACTTGTGCCGGTATGAATGGACCGGGGACTGCTACTACCCAATGGAATCAGTCGGATGCATAAAGAGCCGTAAACAACTTATTGCCAGCAAAAAAATGAAAATGCTAAATTACCTAAAAATCCCTTTCTAAGCCTATCGAAAGTACTAAGTCGGGGCATTCCACACTATTTTATGGTCAAATTTCATAAAAAGCTGCCAATGTCTATTTCTGAAAGTAGTGGAAGAGATTAGGAATCAAACAATCGAGTATCAAATTATAAGATGCCCACCAGAGTCAAAAGATACACGGTGCCAGCTATAGATGATATACAAAGCTTTGCTCAGTGATAAGCCCGATCTGGAGAAAGTACCTGAGAAGCATCTACAACAAGGAGAGCACCTTCACATGCAGCAAGAGAACGAGAGACCTAGATTCAAAAGGTATAAAAGATACTGGATCAAACAGAACGAGAATACTAGAACAAACAGAACAAGCATCTAAAAACGTTGTATGAACTTGCTCTCTAGGAGGAGTCCCAGATCGGTGTGCTATTCAACTATCGAAGGCCCCAATTACCAACATGATTCAACACTTCGAATTTGCAGGAATGGGATTGGAAAGACGGTGAGAAAACCTTGTCCTAATTCTAGACAGAAGTTCTCCTAAACAATAAAACACCAGGTCTTTATGATAGCAGGATGCCTCTGTTCATGCAATTGAGAAAAGCCTCCTAAAGACAAAAAAACTCTGCCCACTGGCAGACTGTTGCTATTCTCCCGTCAATAAGGACCAGATGCTTACAATCCCGGAACAGAAATATTCCCAAACGGGTAACAGCAATAAAGCAGGGAAGCATGGAAAAGCCACAAAGATCACTGGCCAATGCGAGGCTCCGAAATCACATCAAGAGGCAGGGGCCATGGACATACCTCATAAGAGAAGTCAACATGGCCGGGAGTATCAATTAAGTTCAAGCAGTACGGCTGATTCTGAAACACGTAGCGCATTCGAGCTGCCTGACGGGAAGAACATATTAGGCAACCAATAAAAGGCACAGGAAATGGCACCCCATCGTGCAGCGTGCGCATCGAAACAGGAAGAATTGGCGCAAAGGGAACCTGAAGTTTGATGGTGATGCCTCGTTCTCTCTCGAGGTCCATGTTGTCGAGGAACTGGTCCTTCATCTCGCGCTTCTCCACGGTGCCCGTCACCTGGAGCAACTTGTCGGCCAAAGTGGATTTCCCATGATCAATGTGCGCGATTATGCAGAAGTTCCTGATATTCGAGGTCGGGACCTGCACCACCATCACGGACATGGAGGGACACGCCAAAACACGAGAGAGCGAGAGAGAGAGAGAGAGAGAGTTAATGGCTTCCAATTGGAGGAATCGACGTACCTTGAGGAGGCGATGTTGGCCCGCCTGCACTTGGGCGGCGGCATCGTCGACGTCGGCGATGGTGTTCGAGGCGCGACAACGGAGCCGAGGGAGGCTGGTGATGCTGCTCTTGCTCTTGCTCTTGGGTGCAGCGGAGTGAAGCGGAGCGAGTTTAGGGGCGGAGGAGGACGGAGGATACTGAGAAGTGGTCGCCGCCGTGTGGATTCTTCGCCGGTGGTGGTGGTGGCGATTGGCTGCGGATAAGGAGGAGAGCAACGATGGAGAGGCGCGCAGCTCCGAGACGGATGCCGACGTGGCCATACTCTCCCCCGCTCCCACTCGTGCTTGTTTCCTCGCTTCAAATATAAATCAAATGTCGTCTCTCTCCTCTTGTAATCCCCTTTTTGTCCCCCTTCATAAGATAGCCCAGCCTCACCCCAAAACTTAGTTATGGAAATGTCGATGGACCAGTCCAACTAGTGGGCCGGATGGTGTTTCGGTTAAGCGAAAAATGGCCCAACTCAAATTGACCCATTTAATCCGTATTGACCTATTTTTTATGCAATTCAATTTAAAGACTCAGACCAGATCCGACCCAATTTAGATCCAATACATACGGATTTCATTATTAGAAATTTTTCTCCTTATAATGTTGCCTCTGAAGAATGGGCGACTCCATTAACCGGCTCACAGAGTCAATGAGGAGCTTATTGGTCGGGTTATGGACAACGGCGCAAAAGGTGGCACTGAAGCGAAAGGATGGTGGTTCTTACTAGGGTGACAAATAATGCGCTCGCTCTCGTAAATCAATTCGCTTTCGAACATGGGCCAACCACAGTGGCCAGAGTATAACCGTTAGCTTTCCATTTGTACTAGGGGTGATCGGTTCCCGGTCCGGTCCGGTTCCCAATTTTGGGAACCGTGGACCGGACCGTTTGGTCCTAGGACCGGGAACCGGACCGGATCGTCGGTCCGGTCCGGTCCAATAGAACCGGTCACTTAGGATTTAGTTTTTTTTTTGGTCAAATACTTAGGGTTTAGTTCACATTTTACTAATTTTTATCAATGAATTTATATCAATGAAGTTCACTTAGAGTTTAGTTCACATTTTACTAATTTTTATCAAAGAATTTATGTCAATAAAGTTCACTTAGGATTTAGTTTACATTTTATTAATTTTTTTGAAGAAAAAATATGTCGGTCCGGTCCGGTCCGGTCCGGTTCCCCCTTGGAACCGGGAACCGGACCGCCCGGACACCGGTTCCACTTTTAGGAACCGGGAACCGGACCGGCACCCCTTAGAACCACCCAAATAGTGTCGGTCCGGTCCGGTCCGGGCGGTTCCCGGTTCGGGCGGTTCCGTTTGCACACCTCTAATTTGTACCTCCTTTCTGTTGAGAGATGGATTCCGTGATTTCTGTGTGTGAGAAGGTGAAAGTAGGTACACGGACGACGGACGGAAGGTTTGGATCAAAGTTCTTCTTCAAAATGTCTCATGAGGTCTACAGTTATGGTGAGGGGAAATATTTTTAAAAATGTCCAATCAATTGAAGAATGCATAGGCATTAAAATCTGAGTTGTTACGAATTGAACATTCTTGTATCAATGTTACATCCTTGACATTTGGAAGTTTCTACAATGAATAAGCTCCCAAAACCTTGGCAAATGAATGAAATTGCAAAGATAATGACTATGCCGGCGATTCAATGATCCTCAATCAATGAAAGTTGTCTAAATTAAATAAGTCTAAAGCTCCGTTTGTTTCACGGAAAACAACTTTCAGGAAAACGTTTTCCGGATTTTCCGGCGTTTGTTTCGCAAAAAATTAACTAGTCATGGAAAACATTTTTCACTAATGGCAAAAACATATTCAAAAGTGAGAAAAATATTTTCTGCTTTTAAGAAAGCGGAAAATATTTTCCTTGTTTTCTTTCACCTCATTTTCTTTCACAAAACACATTTTTATTTTTTTATTTATTTTTTAAAAAAAACTACTTTTTTTCTTTTCTTTTCTTTTTCTTCCTTTTCTTTCATTTTCGTTTTCGTCTTCTCCTGCCGTTCGCCGGCCACCACAACGGCCGGCAACCTCAAGCGACGTTGAGCCTCACCTCGTCGACCTTGGGCGAGGTCGGCGCCTCACCAGAGCGCGCCAGCATCGGGTGAGCAAGGCATCGCCTCGCCTCGCTAGATCTGGCAAGGCAAGGCGCCGGTCTCAGGTGAGGCAAGGCTCGGCGTCGCTCGAGCTCTCCAGCCTTGGGCGAGCGAGGCCAAGCCTCACCTATGGCCGGTCGCCGGCCGTCGCCATGGTCAACAGGGAAAGAAAGAAAAGAAAAAGAAAAAGAAGAGAAATATAAAAAAAATTATTAAAAAATTAAAAATTTGAGTTTTTTTAAAAATAAAAATTATTAAAAATTGTGCAAGGAAGAAAATCAAAGTGGATTTTCTATATCGAATAACGGAAAATATTTTTCGAGTCTTTTTCATGTTTCAGCCGAATACCGAAAAATATTATCATTTTTCTGAAAATGACTTATTGAAAAATATTTTTCAAAAACGTCATATTTTCTGCGAAATGAAAGGAGCCTAAATTGAATAAAGCATTCCTTCCACGTGAGACATCAATAATAATCCAAGAAGACATTCACATGCATATAAATATGAAAAAACTAGGAATCATTTCGACACTTGCATTAGTCGCTCACTGCACAGCTCTTTTTCCACATGAACGGTTAAAGGGATTCGTGATTCATCTAATCTCTTGTAGAACTCGAGGATGATCCATGTCAAATCAGAAAAAACAAGAGCTAAATCACATCACATCACATTCATTATTCTATTCACTCCATCTGACTCTTCCTTTTATCAATGTTTCAAGAGCTAAAATGCAAACAAGACTCCTCAACAAGTTTCGAGTTTCAAAGACATGACTCTTCTTGAAATATGATAACCAAGACATATCATCTTCTATTCATCTAGTTTTGAGAAAGTTCGGGAAACGCAAAATCAACGAATCACATATTTGTAAGAGCCATTTGAATGGAACATTAGACACCTAAGAAAAATCAACGAATCACATATTCATAAGAGCCGGCTGAAATTGAATATATTTGACATATTATCGTCGAAAAAAAGAAGAATTATATTCATGTTTGATACAATGCATATTTTTTATAATAAAATGAAATAGAAGAAAAGAGAAAGTTTTATTCGAATGGGTTTTATGGCTTAATGGGCACAAGCAAGTAATCTCACGAGCTCATAAGTTTCGGCTCTCAAGAGCGCAAGCCTCATTGGGCCAGTACGAGTAGAACAACACACTATTCCAAATCTGTGCGGTCCCATTTGAAACCGGCAAAACGGCACGTCGGAGACCCTCCAAAAAATGCAGCCGTGAAAAGAATTGCTAAGAAACGACGGAGGAGGACGCACTTCATTTCGGCGCAAGCTGGCTGAATTCATCACAGAGCCATCGATCGATCTTCCTTAAAAGCTCTCCCTCGCTAACACGGTGGAGAGAGACTGTCCTCGCCTATGCGGAAATCTTCAGACGCCGCATTGTAAGTTCATACAGGTTCAATTTCGATTGATTCTAGGTGTACGAGATCGGACGCGTGATGTATCGGTGGAGGAAGTTCGAGTTCTTCGAGGAGAAGCTGGGAGGGAAGTGCAAGGCGGGATCACCTGCAGCTCCAGCAGCCGAGGGAAGCTCGTGATCGGCTGCGGCGACAGTGCGGTGTGCTTGCTCAATCGCGGCTTCAAGTTCAATCGTGGCTTCCAAGCTCATTCCTCCTCCGTTCTTATCCTACAGCAGCTCAAGGTTCGGACTCTCTCGCCTTCTCAGTTGTCTACATTGGCGAAGAGCGTGTGCGCATTGAGTTATGCGAGGATGAGCTTAATTCGTGTCTATTTTGAAGTTGTGTTTAGTAGTTCAGACGAGTCGTTTACTTGCATAAAGGTGGCGCGCTAGTTGTACATTTCTTTCTTCCCGCATTGTTTCTCGACAAGCCCAGGTCACCAACTGACAGATTGATGGTCGTGGAAGTCACCATAAAAATTCCATGGCAAAAAGACGTCGCACGCGCCCGAACACGGTAGGTCGAGTCGCACATCACCGGGTCACGTGCTTCACCCGTTTCACGTGCCGAGCTCGATCTTCAATAAACCGCGCCACATCAGCAAACCGCCCCACATTAACAGCCATCAAACCGTATTAGCGAAACCAGTTCAGTCCTTTGACTAACCGGTTTGGCTTCTTTTGTACGGGTTCGTTGGCTTTCTAAATCAGTTCCCAAAGTTTCTAGTGGTGCTCTTTCGAAATTTGAGGTTTAGGTTTTGCTGATTCTGACTAGAAGATTGAGTTTTGAGCACTTGGCGGTGTTAGGGAACACACGGCCCGAACCCTTGAACCCACTTTTACTCAAAGCTTAAGTCAATGAGTTATGAGCAAACTAGGATATATTAGCGCTTAACACCACATTAATTATCCGATGTGGGACTTTTCTAACATAACTCACATACTTTTCTAACACAACTTACATATGTATCTCAATAATCCCCTCCTACATATCCAGTTGGACCCACTTTTACTCAAAAGCTTAAGCCAGTGAGTTATGGGCTAACTAGGATATATTAACTGTTCAAAACCACATCAATTATTCGATATGAGACTTTTTTAACACAATTCACACGTGTATATCAACAGGTGGATGGTACTACGGAAGCTCCTTCTCTTACTCAACTTTCAAGTTTTTTGTCCGAACTCCAGTCAGTTTCCTAGGAACCATCTTTTGAGCTTGGGGGATGCTATGATATTGATTTTGCAATTTTTGTTATTAGTCCTATCCTTTGTTTTACTATTTACCTTATCGCGACATATTTGTGAGTCTACCTATACACTTGGGCAGTATAAAACTTCCCAATAAATCAAGCAATACAATAGAGATTATGACCACACTCAGGTTATTCAAATATTTTTGGGGTTTTTTAGCTCTTAATTACACTCGATAAATTTCATAGTGTTTAATCGTCACAATTTTTCATGAAATAATTTCTCGATCTCACGAATGAATTAAACAAAATCTTACCACTAAGAATTTGTTGACCAACGCCGCATGGCAACCATTCGTGTCGAATCGATTCGGCAAAAATGATTCTTTTTATTATCGTGCCAAAACAATTTCTAAGCATTTGAAGGCGTTTGGTAATTGCCCAAAATTTTTGTTCTTAGAATAGAAAAAGAACAGAAATGCGTTTAAAGCTACACAAAATTTCTTTTTATTAATAATATTTTGAATTTTTTATATTTATTTTTCCAAATCACTCGTGTTCTTCTCCGGTTTCACTCCCGAAGGAGACGCCCGGGACGTAATTCTCAAAGAATTTTCCTCTACTTACATTCGTCAACAACGGCGCGCCCACGCACGTCAATTAGGAATTGATTATTTCTGACCAAAGTTAGACTTCTCCAAGATGCGATCCGAGTACAAAATTTTCCTTCTTTCACGGTCAAAGTCCAACCACTTATGGAAATATCAAAACCAACGAATTTATTCACAGTTCAATTTGGATAAAGTTCTTTCAACAGGCTCAAACTCGAAGATAAATTACAACAATAGCGTTCTTCAATTTCGTATGACTCGAGGTTATTCTTCAAGAGTAGAAAGAGGAATTTTATTGACAAAACAATGCGCAAAGCTACCATCAGATTTACCATTTGAGTCGCCATAAAGTCTGGAAAGAAAGTAGATGTACAACCATTCAAACATATTCTCATGTACAGCCTTTGTGACGATACATTAAAATCTTCCACTCTCACTAATTGAGAAAAGTGTCAAAAAAAATCCTAAACCTTTTGCATTGATGCCAATTTAGTTCTAAATCTTTTGCATTTGTGCCAATTCAGTTCTAAACCTTTTGCATTAATGCCATTCAGTCCTACACCTTTTTTTGGTGCCAATTCAGTCTTAATCCTTTTCCTTTGATGCCAATTCAATCTTAAACCTTTTGATTTGTCCAATTCAGTCCTAAACTTTTTTTTTGTGCCAATTCAGTCATAAACCTTTTGCATTGGTGTCAATTCAGTCATTCGACACGTGAATAGCTATTAACCAGAATGACTAAACTTGACATAAATGCAAAAGATTTAGACTGAATGAATTGCACCAATGCAAGGTTCTGACAATTGGCACCAAAGATTTAGGGCTGAATTGGCACAAATGCAAGGTTTAAGGACCGAATTTAATGCAAAGGTTTAGAAATTAATTGGCATTAATTGAAAAGATTTAGCACTTCTTTTACATTTTTCCCCTCACTAATTGAAAGATTAATTCTGATTGTCCTTTTCCATGAGTGTTCGAACATATTTTCCAGCATATATCATTACATGCCCTAGCGGCTAAGGCCAGTGGCTTAGGTATTAATATATTCATACGTATGCGGGACTAAAGAAATAGTGTAGCAACTTGTAAAATCTATTTTGGAAAAATGTGACGATCCAAAAGTGACGCGACAGCATATAGCGTAAACACATTATTATCGATTGAGATGTCAAACACAACTCAAAATAGAACTAACGCAATAGAGGACATTGGAAAATAAATTCTAAGTGCAGAAATGGGCGACCACGGCGTTCGAAAGCAAACAAAAGTAGTTTTTTCCTCGTGATTGAGTAGAGGGAGGATGATCTCGCCGAGGGAGTTTCACTGGGGAAGCTTGTTGAGTTTGCAGTGCATGTAATCCTTGAACTTCTTGGCCTTGTATTTCGGGGGATTCTCCGGGCAGAGCAGCTGAGGCAGAGGCCCGACCACCCACTCTTCCGGCGGCTCCAAGAACACCGGCCACGACATTCTCGCCTTCTCCTTGTTCACCGTGCTCCTGTGCAGTACTGACTTGTAGAGTCCATTGCTCAGGATCTACAACAGCCACACAAATGACCCGAATAAGAGAAAACTCGAGTTACCGATGGCATAAGTAACTATTAAAGAAAGCCCTAATTTTTCATCCCTAGGAGGCTTGAACCCGAGGTGAAAAATTACGACTTTACATTTCGAAATCGACTCGAATTTATTATAAATATCCAGATTCAGATCATTTGTCTACTCCCTGTGCGATTAAGAGGTGCAAAATGCACTAGCGATGTTTAATCTTGAAGTGAGGCCACATGGGCCGGCATCGTGCGGACGCTTTAGTGAGTTGTGGGCCTTCAAAGACAAAAGGTATCCGGTTTCATACATAAAGAGTGACAGGAAAATCATGCGATTTGCATCACCTCATGTCGACATCATACGCCCGGCGTAAGGAAAGGAAACCTAAAGTTAAAGCGGATGCGACAGATCCAATCGGCGAAGTTTTACGATACAATAACGCTAGGTGCACCTACATCAACATTGGCTCGGCATCGCCATCTATGAAATTCGGTGTTCAAAACACAAACAACTCAGTTGAATTTGATGTACGGTTGATCTGACAATTAATGGCATTCCCTTGAGGCTATTAATGACCGCAGATCGGTTTCTAGGGAGAGAGGGGGAGAGACCTCAATCTGGTCGCCGATGTGGATGATGAGGGCGTTGGGGATGTACTTGGCGTCAATCCAGCGGCCGTCCTTGAGGACCTGGAGGCCCGGGACGTCGTTGGGCACAAGGATGGTGAGCGTGGACAGGTCGGTGTGGGCGGCCACCCCCAGGGCGAGGTCGGGGCGGGGGCAGGGCGGGTAGTAGTTGATCTTGAGGTTGTAATGAAGCTCTTCCCCGCCGACCGCCTCCTTCATGGCGGTCTCCTCCAGGCCAAGCCCCAGGGAGAGGCAGCGGAACAGCTTGTCCGCCACCTCCCTCATGCACTTGGTATACTCCTCATTCACCTCCCTGCATGCACAGGTTACTTATTCCTCACGCCATGCAATAAAAGCAGCTCCTGTTGTAAACAGCGAACGCACCTGTAGTTTGGGGGGTTCGTGGGCCAGAAGCGGTAGTTGATGGTGGAAGGAGGCCAGACCTTGTGGAAGAGGTGGTCGTTCCACGTCCGCTTGCCGTTGACGTCCTTGGAGACCCGGGTGCCGTAGCCCTCGACGGACTGGGACCCGGGGGGCTTGGCGTAGGCCTCCTTCTCCTCGGGGGGGAGGTCGAAGAAGTGCTTCCCGGCCGCCTGCAGGCGGGAGATGAGCTCCGCGGGGATCCCGTGGTTCACCACCTGGAAGATCCCCCACTCCTCGCTGGCGTCGGCGATGGCCCGCACCACGGACTCGCGGTCGGGCAGGCTCAGGTCGACGGTGGGGATGTCGGGGGCCGGGCCCTTGTGGGTGGTGATGGCGGGGCGCTCCAGCTCCGGCCGGATGAAGTCGGCGGGGATGGTCTCCCCCTTCATAAGCGCGGACGCCACCGCCTGCACTCTCTCCACCTCCATGAAACCGTCAATTACGTTTAACAGACGTTCACACAAACAAACACAGAGCAGCTCCTCCTCCTCTATTTATGGAAAACTCTGAAGAGGCCGGAAGGGGGGCGGTTCACGAGGAAGGACAGTGTTAATCTCGTGAATGGGGGGGTGGGGGGGGCGAATACGGGAGCTCTACGTTACTTACCCGCCTTGGTAAGAAAAACAAGAGTTTCATTTACATTGGGAGTTATATAATGGTGGAAAGGAGAGGGGCGGGGTTGGTTACGAATGGAATGCAGTGGACGTGGACGCGTCTGCATCGCTGCTTAGCGCTACCAACTTGCCCCCCCTCCCTCCCCGCCCAGTGCCCCTAAAACCCAAACCATCCAATCCCCCTATCGATTTTTGCTGTGATTTTTGTGGAAATGCTCTGATAAGTGACAACCTCCACGATGCCCCAAACCCTACCACACTCGCCATTTCATTTCCTCCACGTCCTTTTTGCTTCCACCCCCCTTGATAAAACGGTGTGGCCGCGTCGTCTTGTCTTTTTGTGAAATTGCAAAATTCAGGAACCGTACAGCATATCATTAGAAGTTTTGAGTCGAGAAAAAGAAACGGCAAGCTATATGCTAAAGTGATGTAACATATGAACGCCAAGCTTGTGTTTTTCATCATTTCGACACCCAGTGCAACTCTCGACCTTCTTCTATGTTGTCCGACTCGTCTCGGACTAACAGTTCATGCGCTACACGCGTCGGCGAATGATTCGCGACACCGTACGCCACGAGTCGACATAGCTCGTCACATTGCTTCTTCTTTCTTTTTTTTCATCTGGTCGAATTGTCACATCACTTGATATGCCAATTTTTTGTAGAGCCCTTTTTCTTATTTGCATAGGTTTTGCATCTTCAATACACTTTAGGGTTTCCTGTGATAAAGAAAGAAACCATCGCAAATGAGTGTCTTGTCGAATTAATTAGAGAGGGGAAATCTTCAAATTCATTAATGCCGTCAAAATGAAGAAAGGTTAAGACTCCATTCGTTTCGTGCAAAAAATGTGCCATACCTCTTACAAAAGTGAACGAATCAAAAAAGCTTGCATCATTCACGAATACATTTAGAAACATAAATTATTATTGATATAAAAATATTTTCCGAATCATTCATTTTCTCCTAAACAAACAAAATCTAAAGTCAGCGAAATGACCTGGCTCACTTGGGAAACGCTCCCGCTGCGGAACGACTTCCCGGTGGCCATTAAATGATGGATACGCATGGCGCACCGCATTCGGTCACTTTTGTCCAATCCCTTTTAATGGGATTTGAGAGCAGTTTCAGTGGGGGTGCGACAAACATGGGCACTCTTCTTCATTCTTAAATACTATTTACTTACTATTTTGACAAGGTTTGGCCATGGAACTGACGTAGGAATGATGCCATCCACACATCTACGGATTTGGCAATTCGGCTTGAGGAGGCTGTTTGGCGTTAGCCTTTACGCTCTCTTCCATTCGACCTTGCCATAAAATGGGCTAAAAAGCAGTTGTGCTAAAGACCACAAAAATAAAATAAATGGAGAGTACTGAGATGGGCCCTGATCGATTCTGCGACTTTTGGTCAAGTCCAGGTTTGCAATTTGAGTTCTTTTGATGCGGTTTTTGGTCAAATCAAGCCCAAGCCTGTTTAACGTTATGGGCCCATTCTTTGGCCCGCTCACCTAAGATTTGGGCTTCGGCTCCTCATCCAACATTTGGGCTTCGCAGGCCCAGTTAAGATGTTTCGTTTGTTTTACTGGCTCGTCGTGTACATCATTCCATTAAGAGACATGACAGTGATCTTACACGATTATGTCACATCGTTAATTGATTACTTGATTACGAGAGATTTTCAAAATCACATTTTAGGAAATTTTAAATAGGGGCTTGACGTTGGATCGTCTCATCAAAGTGAATTTTGCCTTAAATAAATGTATGTAGTATGGCAATATAAAGTGCGTTTAGTTTGGCTTTAAGCACATGCCTTTGAAAAAAAACGTCTTTGGAATTAAGGAATTTTTCAAAATGCAAATAATATTTTGTTAAGTGTATTTTAAAAACACCTTGGGAAACAATTTTTGGCATAAATGTCGTTTGGTAAAAACTACACTCTGTAAATGACCTTTGCTAATTTCTTTTTTTTAAATCTCAAGCTATTTACCAGCTTAGTTGCTATCGGCGAGCCAAATCGGCCGATGGCAGCTAGATCTAGCTGCCGGGTAGCCTCATGTGAGATCACCCGACCTTAGGCTAGGTAGTTTGAGGTCACGTGACCTCAAGCAAGAGTGGTGGTGGCTTGCCGGCCGCTCATCGACAGCTGAGGTAAAGATAGGGTTTTCAAGGACATTTTCGGATATTAAAAGTTGAGCGAGGGCAAATTTGGAAGAAAAAAAAGTCTATTTGCATTTCGGAAAATGCAACATTCCATAATACCTCCGGACTTGCCTTAGGCTAAAGTCTTTTTGAAAATGCAATTGCATTTCCTCAAAAAATCTCAAACACCATTTGTATTTGCCAAGGGACTTTAGGGTCCTAAAATCCTTTGTAAATGCTGAACCAAACACACCCATAGAGTGAACCTTATCTCAAATAAATAAAGGCCCAGACTCCCCGGCCTAGCTTAAACGTGTGACTCATGTACTTATTCCAGCGGCAGCATCAGCGAACCAAGAACAATAGATACGATCGAAACGAAGAAACTACGTCACTGATGTTAGGATGAAAATTACCCTAAGAAGAATCTCGAAGAACCCTAGCTTCAATTCGGGGCTTCTTTAAATTGGGTTAAAGTTTGAACAAAATTGCCTTTGATGTTGCCATCTTACCGTCGAAACAAACGTGTGCAAGCCCGCCGGCAAAGATTTGACCGCCCGATGAATTCGGGTCCCTATTTGAGACTAAGTTGATTATTCTGAAGACTTATTTGAAACAAGATCCAGCACGGACTTTATTTTGAGAAAATGTCCCCATCTTAAGTCCGAGACTAAGCTAGTCATTTCATGCCCTTATTCGAGCTAACATTTACCCTGGGCCTTTTTTTTTTTGAAGAAAATAACTTTACTTTAAAGTCCTTGTTTGAGATTAAATTACTTATTTTAAAATAAGATCCATTCCAAACCCTTTTTCTGTGTGGAGAAGACGATATTAATTTCACGGTTCTTATTTGAAATTCTCCCTTGTATGCAAAATCGTAACGGGAGAAAGGGAGAAAGAATGGGGGTTATTCTGGCTTTTTTGTTTGTCTCCTCCTTCGCTTCTCGTCTCCTCCGGTTTTGTCGAGTTTTTGGGGTCGTCAATGGTGTGTGAGTCGGTCCAAAGGAACAACATTCGACATGCATAAATAAAACAACAACAACAACAACGACGACGACGAAGAAAAGTCGGAGAAAAGCAGGGAGCAGAAGAAGCCGCCTCCTCTCCTGTCCACTCTTCTCAATCGCCCCCCTTCACATCTCGGTATCAGTGTCGTCTTTCTTCTTCGTTCGAGCTCGGGCTCCTCTTGGGTCGGGTTTCCTTCCGGTCGCTAGGGTTTTCGGAGGGTTCCTTCCATCGATTGATACGCGTTTGGGAGTGTTTAGTAGAGCCAGCGAAAGATGCAGCAGCCTCCGCAGATGATCTCCGTCTTGCCTTCCTTTCCGCCCACCAACATCACCACCGAGCAGATTCAAAAGGTACCGTCTTTGCTTTCCCCCTCTTCCTCCCCCCCAATCCAATCGAATCGCCTCCTTCTTTGTTGCTTGGGGTAAGAACGGAACGGACCGTCGTTTGCTCCTTCTTGCTCTCTCTCTCTCTCTCTCTCTCTCTCTCTCTCTCTCTCTCTCTCTCTCTCTCTCGTCTTCACTTGTGTTCACAGTCTTGCGTGAAGTGACGACCCTCTTGGAATGGCTTTGTTAGTTTAGTTCGAGACGTCATGGGTGTAGCTTGAATGAACAATTAGCACTTTGGGAAACTCCTAGGGGGGCCGAAACTTGCAAATGAAACCCTTTTGAGGTTAGTGGATTGGATGCTTACAAATGTCTTTCGTAATTTAAGTCTGGGACCATTAAAATGCGAGGTGAATAGCTCGGACGTGCTTAGAATGGCTGGATTCCTTCTCTTCGTGCGAGGCTAAGCCAATCTAGATTCTAGCTTCGTCACTCGATGTGATTTACGCTAGGTTCTTTAGATACCACATTTCTTAGTGTTCTGTGATCTATCGCCAGACCATCGGTTACTAGATCGATTCCTTTCTACATAGTGAACTGTTGGGGGAATGGGGAGCAATCGGTCTAGTGCTAACTAGGGATTTTCATTCTTCTAAACAGAGAAGTGGATTTTAATACACCCATCTAGTATTAAAGCTTTTTATTCTTTTTCAACTAGTAATTTAGTAAACTATGTAAGATGGTAATCGATGGCAAGTTTGCTTAGCCAATAGCAAATCCTTCTTGCGTGAGTCCTCACTTCCTATGTCTGCCAATCTACATGCCGCATGTGAACTGATGATATTCACATATCATAGTTTCTAGCTATGGATCAGAGACATGAAGTATGCATGAAGATTGAACTGTATTGTATCAATGGATGGCAAAGCTTGTGCAACTAAGTTGTTGCGTTACAAGGGTGGAAAAACTCATCCCAAAAAGCTAGCTTGCCCCAATCCCTTATATGCTCCAAAATATCTTCTTAGCTCCCCGACTTGGGACTTTGTCTACATCATAAGTGTTGTACATGGGTTTTTCAAATACCATCGTTGGCAAAGATATTGACACCCAATAGTAGTGTAAGCCACTTTTGTGTTTGGATGTATAGACCTATCACCTATGCAAAGAACTCAATTTACTCATGGTCATGGATATATGCCCATATGTCTAGACTCCTACATAGTATTATCATACTTATGATATTATGGTAAGTCATAATGTGTGATTTTTTAATAGACTTTTACAACGATTAGCTGAGTAAATGCTGAATTTTGTTTCTCTCTCTGTGTGTATGTCCTGCATGTGGTTTCAGCTATGTGTGGTTTCATGATTCTTCATCAGCTTTCTTCTTTTCTGTGATTCTGTTGCATGATGATAGGTCCTATAGTATCATGAATAATCAGTAACATTGTATGTGGCCTGTAGAGGTTTGTTTTCCTCGCAGGTTTGGCACGTGTGAAGGAGAATCAATAGTATTAGTAGTATATGATAAATAGTACATGCAATGTACATAATTAATGGGTATACTATGTAGTGAAATCCTATTGTCATGGTACTTAATATCGTCCTATGCAAGGTAATATAGAGAAGATGGAGAATTAGCTATCATCTGTACAGATTTATACCAGATAATGGCTAGTAGACCTCATTTAAGTTAGACAGACAGCATTATACATGGTCACTTGATCAGAATCTGAGTCTCTACTTTCGCATCATTCAGTACTGTTGATATCGTGATCTATATACTGACTTTCTAGATCATCTTATGTTTGTCTTGGGCATAATTGTAGTATCTCGATGAAAACAAGAAGTTAATTCTAGCTATATTGGACAATCAAAATCTTGGCAAACTCGCTGAGTGTGCCCAGTAAGTCTCTCTCTCTCTCTCTCTCTCTCTCTCTGTCTCTCTCTCTCTCTCTCTCATATGTGTATGTAAGGGGGGAGTTGGTAAAAATAGAAGGAAAGAGGGTAAAGGTCTAGGTTGTGCGCACACACATATGCATGCTGTTGGGTAGGTGGCTCAGGACCGATTTATGCACGTGAATGTGTGAGCTTTTCTTCAGTCTCGGTTTGTTTGTTAGGAAGTACACCGAGTTGTATGTGCAGCTGGCTGATCAGGATTCATTCTGTAAGTGTGCTTTGGCTGGATGGGTATATGCATGTGCCTGTATGATAGCCTTGTTCGTATTCTTGGGCATCATCGGTGGACTCAATGTAGCTTGATGATTCAGGTACCAAGCTCAGTTGCAAAAGAATTTGATGTATTTAGCTGCAATTGCTGATGCCCAGCCACAGGCACCACCAATGCCTCCCCAGGTAGTTATTTATCTTGTCAATTTGCTTAATGATTATCTTTTCCCTGCTTATATGCTTACCAAATGGCATTTACAGATGGCTGCTCATCCAGTGATGCAACAAGGTGGATATTTCATGCAACATCCTCAGGCAGCTGCTGCTGCTGCTGCTATGGCTCAGCAGCCAGGTCTTTTTCCTTCGAAGGTGCCATTGCAATTCGGTAGCCCCCATCAGTTGCAAGACCCGCAGCAGCAGTTACACCAGCAACATCAGCAGGCCTTCCAGGGTCAAATGGGCATGAGACCGGTGGGGCCCAGCAATGGCCTTCATTCCATGAACACGGAGACTACTTTGGGAGGTGTAAGCACTGGAGGACCGCATCCATCCTCAGGTCCAAGTGACGCACGTGGAGGAAGCAAGCAAGATGCTTCTGACACAACTGGTGCTGGTGGTCAGGGCAACACAGCAGCTGGGCATCAGGGTGGCGATGGAGAATCATCACTCATGAAGGGTTCTGAGGAGGCAAAGTGATAGGCTCTTTGGGTGCTTGCATGAGCGACTAGTGGCTGTTGATAGTAGATTTATCGGAACCTAGTGTTGCTATTTGATCTTCTTTAGTACATTAGACATGAGAATTTTCCCTTTTTTTATACTTTTGATCCGAGAACTAGAGTTAGGGGTTTTGTGTTGCAAGAGATTGGTCGTGCAATGTCTCTGCTACTTTAGTGCAGCGAAGTTTTGTCATGACAGTGATGGGAAGCCCGTGCCTGGCCACTGTTCCTGCTGTTCTTGGGGACTGAATGGATTGTGATGTTGAGGATATCGATATCGATGTCGATGTTAGATCATAGACAAGCCGAGTAGTATCTGCCCGATGAGAGATGAGCAGTCTCTTCTGCAGTTTTTGATTGTAGCACTGTAATTTACATGTCTTGTGCTCATCTTCTGCCTGTGGGAGGGCTCCTCGGATAGAGCAGTGCCTTGTGTCTGTAGCTTTCGGTGCTCTAGCGATGGCTGTTGGAGGGTTCTCCCTCTTCGTGATAATTGAGGTCTGAGAAGCCCTCAAAGCCGCAAAAAGATGGGAGTTCCGGAAGCAACTTTTAAGCTGCCTCTCAACAGCCAAGTATGTGTTATAGCTATGTTTCGCAAGGCGATGCGGAGTTGTTGCTGCGCTACCTAGATCGCGATAAAATCTTTACCGTGTAGGATCGGGTCGAAGTCGTAGGGGGATCGCGTGTTGGATCAAGGACTTAAGTTGCTGTGCTGGTCCTCACTTTCTGGGGCTGGAAGAAGGCCCAGTAACTTACTTTTGACAGCATCCTACTGAAACGAGGAAAGAAAGTACCTTGTTCTTTATATATGGTTCATACTAAACATCACTGGCAAAAGAAAAAAAGAGAATGAACAAAAAAGCAAGTGTGAGGTTGGGATAAATATGAGAATCAGAAGCTTTGAGTTGTGTTCACTGAAGATCTAAACGAACGCCCGACGTTTGTGATTTGGACCATTTTAGCTGCTTTTGTATTTACTAGGAATTTGACTAGAATCGAAAGAGTTCAATTCCGACCAACAAAAAGAAAAAAGGAAAGAGAATTAAATAAATGGTGCCACGTGGGGTGTGGGCGCTAACTTTCACAGCCGACAAAAGAGATGGGTGATCGGCTGTTGCCGTGTCCGAGAAGTTAAATTCAATCTAAAATGTTTTAAGACAGCATCGCCTCAACAGACTAGACTACTGCTGGTCTGGTTTGGTTCCTACCTGTTTAATCTTTCATATTTTTTTTGTCACTCCTCCGTCGCCTTCGCCGTGGGAGTCGGTACCACCTGGTCTCCGCCGCCGCCGTCGCCGGCCGTGCGACTCCCTCCATTCCGCGACTCTGACCGTGACCGTGACCGTGACCGTGACCGTGACCGTCAAAGAATCGTCTCGCGATTGCCATCTTCACCGCCGTTCCACGTCGCGTCGGAGCGAACGCCTCGAAACTTGCTGAAAAGTTCCACTGGCTGGCATCGTGTGACACTCTGCTTTTGTCTCAGATCTTTCTCATTCCTAGTTCTGCCTCTCTTGCTGCACATCCCAAGGCAAACTCCTCTTCTAGTTCTGCACGTTCGACGGATTGCCCGCTCTTTTCATGATTTCTTCAGAATGCTGATCAGCTTCTCGCGTGTTTTGCATTTTTGTCTACATAATTACTCCTGCTCAGCTACTTCATCTGATTTTTCCTTTGAATTACTCTTGTTGTTATGCGTGCAGTGATGCAACATCTTGTACTCCTTTGGATCTGATCTGCTCTGAGAATTCCCTGCCTGGCGAGTAAGTTGGAGATACTCATCGAACTCTCGCTTTTAGTGCCCCCAAAAATCGACAGGAATGGCAGCTGACCTCGTCAACGCGGCGACGAGCGATAAATTGGACGAGGTGGATTGGACCAAGAACATTCAGATCTGCGAACTAGTGTCGCGCGATCAGAGGTATATCTGCTGAGTGCTTTGGCTTTTCTCACCGATAATACGATGTAGTGTCGGTTGCTGCATTGTGTTTCGGTTATCAATAAGAATGCCAGTTGTTTCTTGTTAATTTGAGTAACATGACTTTGCTCCTCATGCACGCAGGGCTGCGAAAGATGCCATTAAAGCAATCAAAAAAAGGTTGGGAGGTAAAAGCCCAAATTCGCAGCTGCATGCAATTATGGTAAGGACAGATGTTTTTGAAAGATTCTTACTTGATTCATTATGGGTAACCGCTAGTCTCTCCACATCTCTCTCGATGCGCACTGGTGATTCACCACAGTTCTAATTGTGCAGCTATTGGAGATGCTGATGAACAACATTGGTGAATATATTCATAAGCAAGTGATTGAATCAGGAATTCTTCCCATTCTTGTAAAGATAGTGAAGACAAAGGTCTGAATCTCAATGATCGAGTAAAATCGCATCCCTTTGTCGTATAGTTTCACTGCTATTATTTACTTCATATAAGTTACCCTGCAGACTGATTTCCCCATACAAGAGAGGGTATTTAATCTGCTAGATGCAACACAATCCTCCCTTGGTGGCGCTTCGGGGAACTTCCCTCAATATTTTTCTGCATATCAGGAATTGATGGTCAGTATGATCTTGAACATTGTTCGCCTCCTGGACTCTTTTCTTCCAAATTTGTTTTACGCAATACATATCTGGACCAACTTGGAACTCAGTAGTAATGAAACTGCTTGACATTTGGTTTTGATTTCACTGCCGATTCAGGTCTATAGAAAACTGTCTCATCTCCGACATGGTAATGGATCATACTATTACCCCCTTTAAAAGACTGGGTGCAATATATTGAAGCATCTAGGTTGTAGAAGATGGAGCCTACAATCTAAAACATGAAATTTAACTGAACCATCTTGCGGCACTGACCCCTCACCTTAAAACAGACCTGTTTTGCTCGAATGTCTCAAGTGATGCTCACAAGTCTACTTTTTATGGGAAGTAGTTATAGTAGCATTTTGCTATCTCTCTGTCCCAAATTCAGATCCTAATAGTCTTTTGCACAATCTATTAATGTATGAATGTTGCGGCAACAACATTCAGACCTTGCAGTATAACGTTGCTTTCGTGTCAAAGTCATCTTGCTCAAGGTGCTTATTTAGATTTTTAATGGAGAGATGGGACATAACAGCCTGTAACTTTGTCGTCAAAATTAATCAATTGTATAGCGTTATGATGTTCATGAGGTCGCAATGATTAGATATGAACTGTCTTTGTTCTCTACATGCTCAAGCTCTTGGATTAGTTGGCCAATGAAAACTAGTCAGAATAATAGCAGGTTCAACGCTGTGTCAAAGTTCTCACACTTCCAGTTATATTTCCTTGATTCTTTCTTATAGGTTCCACTCCCTAAAGCTATTTTTATTTCCCCATTATCATCCTATTCCTGCTCACATTTACTCTGTTTTTGAGATTCTCTCTAATTGTACTTCCTTGTCCCTTTTCTTGTTCCCTATTTCCATTATTTTGCTGTAGCTACTCCTACTAATTTCTCTGAAGAGATCTTGCTACAATGCGTGTTTGTTGTGCTTTACTGTTGATAAGTGATAAGATATTGGTAGTGTTAGCTACAAGGTTTTATCAAATAGATTATTTAACTGTTTAACTAATGCACTTCCATATTTTTCACAAGATCTGTTGCCTTCTTTTTGTGGAAAAATCAGAGCTTAGGAGTACAGTTTCCTCAACAGCATCAATCTGCACCTTCCGATCCATCTGTCATACAAGTGAAAGGGAGTTCACCATCAGCCTCCACTTCACAAGCAGAGAAGAATATTATGTCTAGTCGGGAAGAGGCCTCTGCCAGAGGTAATAGACTTCCGCATCAACCAGAAGTACAGTGCATTCCTGAATCAAGGTATTTATTTACTGGAAAAAGGAAAGGTTCTTTATAACCTGCTTATGCATCTCTTTGATTAATGGACCTCTTTTATAGGTATTAAAATCATGAAAACTGTTCTGGCAAATTGTACAGACAAGAGTTTTTACCTGATTGGTGTAGTCAGAGTGGCAATACTGCTTAGTTTAAATGAATGAAATCAGTAACTTATTAATGTAGTCTTTGCACCCTATTATAAGGCTTTCTTTCCTAGGTGAATTGGTTGGTCAGGAGCTTTAAATCTCTCGTGAACCCCAGTAGTGGGATAACCAGTGGCTGGACCCTCTCATCAGCCTCAGACTCTCTGTCTGTCTTTCAGAAAGTAGATTGCTGAACGTTCCTGGCTACTCTCTCTCTCTCTCTCTCTCTCTGCGCGTGCGCCTTTGACTATTACTTTCCTTGCAGTCTAGTCCTTGTAGAACCTCCAAACCCCTAGTTCTGATAAATCAAAATTGTTCTGCTCTATGGACAAATCAACCTGATAAACTAATAAGCCAAGCATAGTTATGACTTGTTGGAAGATTTTTTATTGCCATGCTTGCTGAGAGATATGTCTTGGCTTTTTCAAAAGATGGTTATGACTCATAAAATACATACCATTTGGCAGATAATATGCACATAAAGATATAAATGGTTTATGAAGGAGAAATTTCCTCTTGCTTAGATCATGTGATCTGATAGTTTTTGTCTTCCCTATACAGTATTATTCAAAAGGCTAGGAATGCATTGGAGGTTTTGAAAGAGGTCATGAATACAGTTGATGGTCAACAGACTCAACACCCTCTGGTAAGTCAGTCTCATATCTAAATCTTTGATTGACCTCCTTTTGTTTAATTTGAAAATGCTCTTACTTTAGCACGGTGATCAGTTCATGAAACCATGTATATTGGGTATAAAATTTTTTTTAAGAATCTCCAATAAACCCTACTAGATAAGGAAGTTTGACTATCTTTATGAGGCATGAGTTCGTACTCTAGCATTTAAAGTTTTCAACACTGTAGATTTTATTTTTCCTTGACTAGTAAAGTGCAAGCTAACTTATATTTCCACAATTCGATTGCTCTTGCCTAATTTTTAGTCTGGTCACAAGCAGTGAGAATGCCAAAATAAATAGTAACTGGAATTCTTTTGATTTTCTCTAGCTGGCGCATGGCCATGCATGTATGGCGAATGACAATTTTGGAAAGTTGAGAGGTAAATGTGATATTATGTGTGACATGGCAGTGGATCGCACTTTTACCCCCTTTAAAAGGCTGTGCCAGCATACAGAAAATGTCCTTCCACTAGTTAGGGTAATAACTTGTAGTCTGACACTATGTGTACTACATCAAGGCATTAGAGGGTTCTCACTTCGGAAGTAAATTAATGAAGAAGTTGGAATTTTTATGAAAAAATTTAAAATTGTGTAA